AAAGGTGGTACGCCTTTCTAATCCTCGCATTTCGATACGTTCTGCGACGTATTAGGCTGCCGCCGTATCCACACGACGGAATATCACCTTGCGGCAATCGCCAAGTCGAACGGTTCCATCGACAGCTTAAGTCATCTCACTGTGCACTTCTGACCCTGACTGGAGCGAAAACATTCCGTTAGTACTTCTAGGTATCCACAGCAGCATCAAAGTTGGGCTACAGTGCGCACCAGCAGAGCTGGCCTACGGCACAACGCTTAAGCTGCCATGAGAGTTAATTTCACCTCCTCGCCATCGTGTATGCCACCGTCAAACTTCGTAGCCTCCTTTTCTCAACTCATGCGTTCGCTGCGCCCGACCCCTCCTTGTGAGCAGACCAGCGATGTGCAGATGCATAGTGGACTCTCCACCTGCACTCGCGTTTTTCGTTCGCACAGACGCAGGGAATCGTCCCCTTCAGCTTCCCTACATCCGCCCTCTCAGAGTTCTCCAACGAATCCCTAAGCATTTTACTTTAGATCAGAATGGTCACCGAACGACGGTATCCATCGATCGCCTTAAAGTGGCATTTTTCGAAGATCCGCTCCCGGATTTGCCTGATACATCCGCAACGGTAAACTCACCCGTAGTTGCATCTTCCGCACTAGACACCCTAGACTCCTGTTACCCTTGACCCTCCGCCAACCTAGCCCCAACCCCAGGCAACTGACCGACGCGGTAGATAGGTTAAACGTCCAGTCCATTTTTCAGATTCATAAATAATACCCATGGAAAAGTAAAACACAGTGTTGCAAAGATCGCTTTTCGGTAGTTCACATCAGGCAATTGCAGCTACAGGACTGATAAATGCAATAGTAAACTGGTAAATGCAACATTGAGGACGGATGGGACGGTTTGAACAGCTACAGCATGTTCGTTCGATGCTCCAACTAACTGAATTAACACCTACTTCTACTCTGGCCAGAGACACTTTCAAAACCACCTTAGTGCACCTCTGCCAACAGTATCTATACTGCGAGAAGAGATCTTCAAACATGCTGTCCATAAAGCATCAGAAGCAATCAAACAATTGAGGTCAAATCCCGATCTTATTCTTTCTAGACCTGATAAAGGATCGGGATGGGTGCTAATGGACAAATCAGATTACATTTCAAAATTAAAAGTTATCTTGCAAGACACGAACAAATTCTTGCATGACACAATCCAGAAGGACAAGACGGCAGACGAGGAAGCAAAGATTACAAAGATCTTGCAGGAATTAAAACAGGTGAATTTGACAACCGATATTCAACTGTAGCAGTTAACTCCTGTTGGCTCTCAACCTCCTCGGCTTTACGGCTTGCCTAAAGTACACAAGCCACAAGTCCCTCTACGTCCAATAATTGACATGTCCGCTTCTGCACACCATTTGGTTGCGAAATGGATTGTGCAGGTATTGAAACCTGTACGTAAGGAGCTCTGTATTCATTCTTTGAAGGATTCGTTCGAATTCGTTGATAACGTTAAAGACCTGAAATTAAATGGTAAACAGATGCTTTCTTTTGCTGTAGAATCTAGTTTCACAAACGTCCCACTGCTAGAAACTGTTAATTTCATCTGCGAGTATATAACGGAAAGGAACCTAAACGTTGGCATTCCAATGCCTAAGCTCAAGGAGTCAATTTTGCGGTGTATCTTTAATAGACAGTTATTGTTTGACGGAATCTATTACAGGCAAATCGATGGCGTGGCGATGGGGTCCCCCCTTGGACCTCTCCTTGCGACATCTTTCTCGCTAAGCTTGATCGTGGTCCCATCCAAGGGGTTAGTGCCTTAGTTGCTTCTTATTGGAGGTATATGGATGACACGTTCATCATCTGTGATTCTCGCAGTGATGTCAACTATGTGGTTGACCAGTTCAACAGTGCTCATCCCTCAATGAAGTTCACTAGTGAAATGGAAAATGGCTTTCTGGAGGTTTTGTTGAGGAGCCGCGAGGACGGACCACTTGAACGTAGTGTCTTCCGCAAAGCTACATGGGTTGGACAGTACACATACTTTTCGAGCTTCGTCCCATTGAAGTACAAACGCAACTTAGTGCGTTGCTTGAATTACCGGGCCACCAACATTTGTAGTCCGGAAACTCTCGCGGGTGAGAAGGACCGAATTGTGAAAACACTTCTTTCGAATGGATACCCTGAGCCTTTCATCAAAAAGCATGCCATGACCCGTGAGCGCAATAAGCCCGTAGCAACGGTTCCGAAGAAGGATGTGTTTTTCTCTGTTCCTTTTAAGGGAGATATGGCGTTCGATCTCCTGAACAGGAGACTTTCTAATGCCGTAGCAAGGACCAACCAGGCCGCCCACCCGCACGTATTTGCGGAGACCGCTCCCTTCATAGCTCAACGTCTTAACGACAGACTACCAGTGTCGTCCGAATCGTACATTGTTTACCAGTTTACTTGCACCTATGATGTCAAGTACCTCGGGCATACGACCAGGCGTCTGTTGGTGCGGATGGCTGAGCATTTCCAGGGTCACTGCGGAGTGGTACGCTCAGAAGTATCAACAGCTCGATCATGGAACATCTGATTCTAAGTGGTCATCAGATTTTGACAAAAGATGCCTTCAAAGTCTATTATGCCGTACCGAGGCGATACCCGAAAGGGTTAGGGAAACGCCTCTTGCAGATGGCTGACGCTATCGCGATCCGGCTAACACAACCAGAGCTATGCAAACATAGGGTGCTTATGCAACCCTTGACTTCGCTATGGCCCTGATGATAAATCTCCCCCGGAACATTACGCATAACCGGGTGCTATTTACTTATCTAATTAACTATTTTTATATGTTGTTAGTATTTACAGAGATTATTTTGCTGTCGGTTAGCCCTATCGCCATGTCATTTGATTAAATCGATTTGAGCACCGAACGAACATGCTAAATTTGTTCAAACCGTCCCATCCGTCCTCATTGTTGCCTTCACCAGTTTACTATTGCATTTATCAGTCCTGTAGCTGTAATTGCCTGATGTGAACTACCCAAAGTAGATCTCTTTGCAACGCTGAGTTTCATTTTTCAGATTGGTTAAAGTTTGTTATTTTCCTTGACTACGTGTTTTCCACCTTTCATGGTAAGCGTATGTATCATCCACAAACGTTTTGAAAAACTACAAAAACCTAAGACCCGTTTTATAAAAACCAACAAGTGTACACATTTTTATTTTCTATACTTGCCTCGTTATCCATACGACATCACGGCGCCTATGCCGTTTTACCTTCTAGAACTTAAGTCCTCTGAGAAACTGCGGAACCCCGTGGTCCACCTGCTCGACGCCTCCGACCCCATAATCCCGGCTCCAAGCGACCGCGACTCCCCCTACCGGTGCGACAACGACTGGTCTGATCCCAGAAGACGACGCCCGGGATTCTTCATGGGACGAAAACCGTTACGGCTGTGGACTCCGGATGCAGTGGGGGTGACACCTCCCAAGCGCACCGTTGAGCCGCAGCGGAGGAAATGTCCTGTCGGCCCTTTTTCTGGACTAGCCAGTTTTTTTGCAGTCCGACCAACCCGCCCCGAAGGCCTACCGATTATGCACTCCATTTCACACCAAAATAATAAATAGGAAATAACAAAAAAGCCGGAATCCAACAAACTCCGCGCGCGCCCTCACTGCCCGCTTGCGCCATCCACACTTTGTTCCCCCACTTGACATCTCTATCGAAGGCTTCCCTCATTCAGCCTTCTGGGGGGAGACGCCTGTAGTGAACATGAAACATTTACGCTTTCTTTATTTTATGACATTGGACCTTATTCTTTTTGTATCTTCTGATCACCCATTTGTTTTACTGATGGCATGTCTGGTTCACTTTCGAATTCTCTGGGATTCGCACGCTACTGTGCTCTTGCTAATTTGCTTCTAGTTCATTGCAGCTCTTTACAATACACGTTGGGCCCGGCTACGTACTCACTTCTGAATAATTGGTATCCGTATTGGTTCCTACTGGTTCTCGTCACAACCAGTACCTGAGTTCTGCTCTACAGTACCTATCGGCCAGCAGAACTGAACTACTAGGCAGGGCACTTAGTGTAGTTGTTCTGAAACGGGAAGATTTCTGGATCAGCTTACAAATATACATTGTTTTCCACCACATGTACTCGCTTCGGTACCTGCTCCCCCAACACGCTTTTGCAACAAGGTGTTGACAGGTGATTTTGGCTAGAACTAGGAGCTAGCAGAGAACGAGATCTGTTTAACCGGAAGCACATAGAAAGTGGCCGATCTAATAGGTTTCTTATATTTAAGTCACACCGTTGGACCGCATTGCTCTAGCTTCAGGCTCTTACTCAGTCTTTTACTTTGGTTTAGGGATAGCAAAACTATCGTTCTTCTCTCATAAGTTACTCTCACTAAACGATATTAGGATTCCGTCCAAATGCACTGTATTTTTCCGTTAATTTTCTATGCCTGATCACCTATGAATCCGCCGACATAACTATCTAGTTTGTTCCGTAAAACCAGATAATTGGTTGGACTGTATCACATTTATATTTCAATCCACGATGGTCAGCTATCGTCAGCCAAAGCTCAGCGGCATTAGGTGCTAGCCAGTGGTACAAGCCACTAACGGTTATGGGTTTAGTTTATTGAAGAGGATAGAAGGAATGCGCACCACTGACGAGTCCAGGAGGACGAAATGGCCGTCTGGTATTTTTCCAGATTGGTAGTCCACCTATCCGGCTGTTAATCTCATTACCATGAACTCAATAAGCAGTGCTCGTTCATAGGCACGGGCCTTCCGTATCAGCCTATCCTGAGCTCAAGGAACGTCAAATAACGTGGGCCCCTCCTATCCAAAATTAAGCTGCTCATACCGAACAGTGGAACACCGTACCACCCGCTTAAGATCACGTCATATCATATGGCGCAAGCTATTTTTCGAATTTTCTGAGATTGAGTTTACCCAACTGCTACTCATGTCCACTTCATTTTCTTTACTTTTAAGCAATAATTCGCGGAAATATAAATAACATTCATTGAATTGTTATGTACAAGCACCTCTTGAGTAGGTGAAATAAAAGCGACACAATAAATGTATGTCAGGTTTAGATTTGTTTTATCCGAGAATGCTTTCTGAGCCTGCGGTAATGTTTATAGTTGCATAACTGTGTCAGTCAAAGAAATTTGATGCGTGCCGAACTGGCAGCTGACCCCGATTCTGGTGAGATGCGTCCGAGGGGAAAGTCTCCATGTTGCGATTTGCTTGAGCAGCCTCGTGTGTCCGCATCTCGGTTAATAATGTGAGCACATGAAAGAAACGAGATATGAAGGAACCGATTCGGTAGATATGTGTCTGTGGCGTGGATAACCGAATTCCTTGCCTCATTGAGCGGTCCGCGCAATGTTTGATCAAAGTTGTGCGAACGGTGTCGGCTAGAAGGGCAACAGGCCTGCATTTGGGTTCCTCCAAAGCAGCTGTAACGTAGGAGGAACCGACACATGAGTAGCGTAAGGGAGACATATTCTCGAATCAAGTAATCAGATCACGTCACTGGGCTCTTTAGAAAACACACTGATACTCAAGTAAAGAAGCAGCGAAAGAGTAAAAGCTAAATTCGTTTGAAATCGGTATGATTAAGTATATGATGCTTTGAGTTGTTATTAGCTCATAACTTTTCAGACACTTCAAGACTTTGATTGATTCGGCGTCTGCTTCCTTTCGAAAGGTGGACTTTCCATAAAAACATTAACGCAATTTTTCCCCTAGGGCTAAGCTCACGTTGATTTCCTGCAGACTGGTTTCTTCGTTGGGCTGAAGATGTTCACAGATGAAATTGCTCGGAGCTCCGGTTTTATTGTACTTAAAACTTCGCACTGTTATCCGAAATCAGGTTTTGGAAGATCATTACATCCTGCGTTTGCCAAACGGTGGCGATTTATCAGTCCTATAAATGTAGGATATTCGCTGGTCTTCTGGTACCAAGTCTGTCTAAAAAGTATTGTGTACCACAACTGACCTCACTCTCCTATCTTAGTCGCTAGGTGTCATTCATAGGAAAACGTAGCGGATCATTGGCCAATTGGTTCTGGTGTCTGGCCCGTAGACTAGAGGTAACGAGCTTGTCTCGTAATCTTGCGGCGCGGGTTCGAATCCGCTTAAAGGTGAGCGTCCTCGCGGTACGCTCAGCCCGCGTGCGACTGGTGGTGGTCGCACAGCAGCAAAGTGCCGTTACGGCGTTAGTGGCTAGTAACCCGTAGGCCACCGATTAGACCCTGCAGAGGACTACAGTTTCCCTGCCCTTCAAGCGTTGCAACTAAGTGTCCATGGGATGCATCAGCGTATTGTCGGTATCTCCCTTCGCTTGTATAAATTAAGTAGCCGACGCACAAGGAAAGCTGTACGGAACAGATTGATGTACGTGAATTAGCTGGCCGAAAATTGCATAATTTTATGAAAGAAATGGTCACTACGGTTCCTCACTGTTTGCCCGGCTCGATTTCGTCAGGTAATAACAGTAGCTGTTTCCGAACACTAGATCGTCACTGATCAGAATCTGGGGCCGTGAGTCAGTATAAATAAGGACAGTAAACAATACTTTGTCTCGTGCTCTCTGATCACTTGCAAACGAGCAACATTTCAAATGATAATGTGACAAGAAGTCAATTAGCTGAAATCGGTAATTCACATGTCAAGGAAGTAAAATGGTGGCTACAAGTTGTGATGTATCACAGACCCCAGGGGAGTTTGTGTTACAAACAGCTGTTCCTGGATGCACCGTGTAGGGTGGTGCTTGTTTATGGCCACTGCCTCGGAAAAGTTGAGGTCTCTGGCGTTTGTGGATTACAGCAAACGCCGAGTCGGAGTCGACCTAATGGCCTGTTTCAATCAGTGGTTTCGCAATCGATGAGACAGTTATCTTGTTCGTCGACACGGTTCCCGTTTTTGGTTGCATTGTCATGGTAGCGATAGGCTTCGGAATGTGCTCCCCAATCCGCTTACACAAGCAACTGTATCTGCCAATGTAACCGCTTCCACAGTTATAAACAAATCCTTAGTTGCAATACGTTTTAGCGGAGAGCGGCTTAGTAGACTTGAAGAAAAGCAGTGGTAATTTGTTGGTTGCCCAGAGAGGGTAGAATTTAGCAGCATTGAATCCACGTCGCAGTACAACTGCTGTGCGTCGTTCTACTTGCTTAGCCACAACATCACCTTGGAAGAGCAGTTGCAGATAAATAGGCATTTTTGGTACAAAAAGAACGACCGGCTGTTCACCTGAGAGGCGGCCATGAAACCTAATAAATGCTTCTTGGTAGCCATCTTTCCTTAGGTTTTGCGTGATGAATTGCAATTCAGCTTCGATGAATTCCGTACTGTATATCCTTCAAACCCAATTGAATAATGTTTTGACGAGGCACCGTTTGTATTAGACCGGTGTAAAACTGTTGAATTGTTCCTACAAATCTGTCCACCTAGATTTCCGGTAAACTGTGCTCTGTATCATGCCGTCTTCTGATTTAAACAGGCCATCAGGTAGTCTCCGACTCGGTGCTTACTCCAATCTGTCGTAACACAAACGCTAGAGACCTCAACTTTGCCGAGGCAGTGGCCATAAACAAGCAACATCCTACGCTGTGCATCCAGAAGCAGCGGTTTGTTACACTCAAGCTCCCTTGGGGTTTGCGATACATCCTCAATTTGTAGTCACTGTTTTACTTCCTTTGCACGTGACTTACAGCTTTCAGCTAATTGACTTTTTATGTTACTCGGCAGTGGCAGAATTTTTGATGCAATCTTTAAGATATTCATCCCAGTAGTTCACAAGCTACATAGCAAGGCCTAGTGCGGAAAGGCGCCAGACGCGTTTCGCCTTATTGCTGCCCGTCAGTGGGGCGCATTCCCTCGGTCGCCTACTGGGTATCAAACCCATGACCACTAGAGGCAGATGCCAACTAGCCAGCAACTTGGGCCACTGAGCCATGGGGGACGTCAATTGATCTACACAATTTGCTAGCTAACTGGGATATAGCACCACCTATCTTCCAATGTCGCTGAGAGTGGCTAGCCTGCGAGGCGATGACGTCCTCTCGCTAGCTATATCCATATATGCTATATCCATAGCATTTGAAACTAGGAGAGGCCATTTATTTTATATTACTGGGCGGTAGCCGGATTTTAAACGTAATTTTTGAGGTATTCATCCCAGATTATATCAAAAAGCCCGCTAATGCCGAGTAATATAAAATAAATGGCCTCACTTAGTTTCAAATGCTATGGATATGGCGTTTAGCGGGAGGACGCCATCACCTCGCAGGCTAGCCGCTCTCAGTGACAGTGGATAATAGGTGGTGTTATATCCCAGTTAGCTTGCAAATTATGTAGCTCAACGGACGTCCCCCATGGCTCAGCGGCTTAACCTGCTGGCTAGCTGGCATCTGCCTCTGGCGGTCACAGGCTCGATCCCCAGTGGAGGACAGAAGGAATACACCCCACTGACGAGCACCAATAGGGCAAAACGCGTCTGTTGCTTTTCCGGACTACGCTTGCTATGTAGCTTGTGAACTACTGGGATGAATACCTTAAGGAATAATTGACTTTTACTCATGTTCTCTTAAAATGTTGCTCGTTTGCAAGTGAAGAGAGGGCACAAAATGGTGCCATCTTGCAACCTAGTGGTAGTATAGGCAGCAGTCTATTAAATAGATATGGAGCCAAACATAGCCATGGACTTCACGAAAAGCAGACAGGTTTAACACCGTATCTGCATCATGGGACATTAACTGAAGGTGAGCAACACACCAGCTATTGTGCCACAAAAAAAGGAGCATTTTTGTCAATTTGCGCAAGTTTTCTTAATATTTTAGCGTTTTCAATCGTTAACCATTAAGCATTCAAACCTATGCAATTATGTACACAGATCCTCCCCTGGTTTCGATTACCAGCCATTTCCTGAATTGTTTCTAGCCATCGGAACTCCTCATCTTTTGGTCCCCAACTAGGCAGACGTGTGGATTCAATGATGGCAAGACGTGAAGTCAACGATTTCATTTGCTGTCACCAGGTGGATGGTGGACCACCGCGTGTTCGCTTCCAGTCGAGTCCTGCACGAGCAAACAGAGCGCGATAGGGCAAACGCTCAGCTGACATCCGCAGGACGTGACCGAGTCATCTTAACTGGCGCAGCAAAACCAGTTTGTTGAAGGGAATACTTTCATTTCCTAAGACACTACGTCTGACTTCCTTGTTGCAGATAAACTGTTGCCACAACACGTGCAATCCTACTCAAGCAGCCATTATCGAAGGCAGAGAGCCGGCGCATGTCATCTATGCTAACTGACCATGACTCCATTCCAAACGACAACACCGCCAAAACAGCGACATAGTAAACATGACCCTTTACCAAAAGGAGACATCCCGCCGACGCCACAATTACTGCAGGACGACAAATGCCGACCGAGCTTTGGCGATGCGAAGAATAACTTCGTTTCCGATAGTACCACCAGCAGACACACAGCTGCCCAGGTAGACAAACGTAACCACTTTTCCAAGCTGTGTACCATTACTAGTGAGCATAGGAACGGTTGAGTGCTAATCCTGAAGCAGAACTTTACAGTTTGACGAGCAAAGCACATTCCGTATCTAGATACCTCAATCGCCAAACGGTCTAGAATGGTTTGCATGCTCTGTGAATCGTCCCTGTGTAAGGCGTTGTCACCGGCATAATCTGTCAGTCGCTCCCTTACTTGGTAATAGCTGTAGACCAATATTTTGGTAACCGTCTCGAGCTCTCGACAGGACGCACTAAATCGTAAAATTGAAGAGGAACGTGAAAATGGGGCAACCTTGTCGTACACCGCTATTGACAGCGAAGAACGACAAAAGCCTGACATACACCCTCACTCTGCCAGAGATGTGGAAATACTGTGCGCGTAGGAAGGCAGTGTAGTTTTCTGGAACGCCGTTCCTTGGCAAACAACGCCATAGTGCAGGTCGATTAACCGAGTCGAATTCTGCACGGATGTCTAGGAATACAACGATGGTAGAAGGGGCGGTGTTCCAGGATTTGACGGAGTGTGTATATTTGACCCACACACCCGCGGCCAGGTCGAAAGTAAGCTTGTTCTTCCTGGTACTGCGATTCGCGAACGGGAGATAATCTTCCGAGGAGAATGGATGTCAGTAGCTTGGAGATAACCGAAATGAGACTAATCCCCCGGAGATTGGGACACGAAGTGCGAGCACACTTACTAAAAATCGGAACAATAACTGACTTGCCCCAGGAAGGCACATTTTCTTCATGCCAGGTTTTAGAGAACAATGACATTGGTTGGCTAATGACAAGGGAGTTTCCATACTTGAACAGCTGCGGACGACATCCGTCTGAGCTAGCAGCCTTGAATCGTCTTAGGTGGCGAATCGCAAGAGAAACTTACGCTTCGTTGGGTGGATCAAGTGTGAAGGTCCAGTGTGGGTAGCTACGGTCGCAGGGCATATAAGTTGACGGTGGTGGCTAACTGAACTAGGAATGAACATGTTCGGCCCAACGGTCCAAGCGTCTCTGTAAGTTGGCAATCGGAGAACCATCCGCTACGCATACCGTCTCACTGTCACCAGACTTTCTGTGACCAGTGGGTCGAATGAGCTGGAAGAGCTTGCAAGTATTGCCAGAGAGGATGGCTGCCCTCATTTGCGAAGCACGCTGAGACCACCAGGCTTCGCGGTCACTACGTAGGCTTTATTTGAGCTACCGACTGACAGAACGGCGCATCTCATTATGCTTAGACTCCGCTAGGATATTCTTGCGGTGGTCATATAGATCCAAAGAGCTCGTGGAGATCCAGGCCTTCATAGGGTGCTGAGTAAGACCACAGACTGACTGCCCGGAAGAGATCATGGTTCTCTGCATGAACGTCCAGTGTTCATCCATATCTTTCGGTGGGTCGCAGCCGAGTACACTGACCAGGGAAGCTTGATATCTCTGCTAAACCGAGAGTGTGTCTAGTTTATTTGTGGCTACCTTACAGTGCTTCGTTTTCGGGGACCCACGGAAACTCATGCACATGTTCGCGTAGATAAGAGCATGGTCTGAGTAAAGAAAAGTGGACCAGATGGACCTGCAATCCTTTGAACCACCCATCCAGCTGAAACTGATTGTGATGTAATCAACCTGCGACCAGGATTGAGATGCAGAAGGGGTAGCCAACTAGCGGAACGTTACCCCGAATGCCGAAAGCTGGTGCTCGAAGAAAACAGATGCATATCTTCGCACGGTGTGAGAAGTCTCACCCCATTAGCTGAGCGGCTCTTGTCGAGCGTGTTGTGACCACCAAGGTGACTTTGCAATGAAATAGACGATCGACCCGTGCGTTGAGATCCTCAACAAGGACAATGATGTCGAAGTTGCGGGCTCAGTTCAAGACCTGATGAAGTTCACGGTAAAAATCGTTCTTGATTGAGTCGGAACGACAGTCAGTTGGAGCGTAAGCTGAACACACAAACAAGTTGCGTCTCTACTCACGACATACGTTTATCTTTCGTGATCCCCGAAGCCAAACTGCACACAGTCGGCTATTAATCGGGAACCACTCCAGCAGTACGGCCTCAGCTTTGCTACTTAATGCTACACCAATGCCAGCCAAACCTGCCGCAGCTGCTTTTGTGTCACCAGATAGACGTAGGTGAAATATGGCTCGGTGATCGATGAGCGATCTCAATTCGATCACAGTACTGGGATCTCCTAAGTAGGTTTTGGAAAGATGGCCAACATTGATAGTGAGGAATTTCAAGGTGCGTGAAAGAGCAGCTTGCTGCCTGATATGCATGAGTGTGCGAACACTGAAGCATGCAAAACGGAACAACGACCGATGCCGAAGGAGTGCGACTGAGCGAGCTCTCTGGGTGTCGACGAAACCATCGGGAGTAGGATCATGGGTACAGCAATCAGCTGAGGACGGAGAACGGTAGTTAGTAAGAAATGAACTGGTGGTATGTTGTTGTGTGTGATTAGCAGGAGCAAAAGCAGCTGAGAGCGATATTACAGATGAACAATCCATAATTGTCAGTGGGCATGATACTATCCGGTTGCCCTAGCCGAAGTAGGGAATTGTCTTAGGGGACCCCATCCCGAGTCTTCGGCTAAATAGCTTGAACGCAAGGCAGCGGTGCGATTGTGAGACTGTTAGTCTGACCCTCAATTATTGGCCTGTCTGGTATGAGTGGCTCTGAAGGCACTTTAAGTGCCACCCAATGTAGCTTAATGAGCCACAGGAGGACGCAAAATATTACACCATCTTAAGGTCCAGTCTCGTTGCGATGGCTCCTGCAACAGGCGTCTTCTTATTGTTAATACAGAGAACTCAATGCTTCAAATGCATCGTTTGTTGTGCGGGACATATCCCATCTAGTCTGCTCACAACGGATGAGAATGTGCAGTCTAGATACTGGCAGTCAGCGCCAATGGTTCGGTCCAAGCCTCAGACACTGAAAGACTATTCAGACACGTTTTGGATACTGCAAATATTTTACGAGTTTAGTTTTCATAAACCCAGCTAGATCGCTGACTTACTTCGCATACATTTAATATTAGTGTTGACTGGCTACTACAGTTTCTCTCTCGGGCACCACTGAATTTCGCGCCCAACGCAATTTGCCTTTATGACTCCGATGAACAAAGTTTCAAAACGTTCATGTAACTTACTTTAGGGAATGTCTGAATATTCAAACTAACCTAACTCAACGCAAAGTTCTGAGGACTTACTTGGCTGAAGTAATGTTAAGGCCTTCAGACAGCTCCACTCCAATTGGTCTAATCGGAGATTCTTGAGTAACTGAATCATTTTCTCCAACAATTTACGCCGATGCAACTGTGCACTTCTGTCTTTTCCGTCAGTCTCGACTTGTTCAGTTTTCACACACCGACTCTCTTCACCAATGTGCCAGTTTTGCTCGACAATCTCGGAACCTCTGATTCGAGCCACCAGTGACTCGCAGCAGCGCACACTGTCTGAGAGCGACGGGTGGGGATGTGGTGGCCTTTGTGTCGTAGCATCCTCCCTTGGGTGTAGTAATAGCTAAAAAGTAAATGTGCTTGGTGAACAGATACAGACCCTTCATCAGTTTACTTCTATCACACGCCAACGCCATCTGCATACAGTATCTAAGCTACCGCTGGGGAAGTCAATATGGTTTCATCTACTGAGTCTCCCGTGCTACAGAAAATGCTGGGTTGTACCAATGAGAACTCCTGACACAACAGGGCTCTTCAAATTTCGATGTGAGCTTTTAAACCCTAGCTTATTAGATGGACGTCAAACACCGCTGGTTTGTGGGTGTCTGACGAGGTCTTGTGGAAAAATTTCGGTATCTTAAAGGCTGTGGACCGATGAAAAGTGTAAACACTTCTATCATTATGGAAGCACGTCTCTGTCGCAAACCTCATTGAATACGCAGTAGGTCGATTGCGTACAGCAACAGGGTTAATCCTCCAAAAACCACTATAAGGGCCACATAATGAGGGACTAGATTATGCAATGGCATAATTGATGGCCAGTTTTCAGGTAAGCTTAGATGTTACTGTTGGTTTACTAAATCCTGTCTAAACTCTACCGATGGATCTCGGATCCATTCTTCACCCGAGACAGGAGCGGTCTGTTCCCTTCATTCATGTCTAAACCTGTCCCTTTAAATCCGAATCCATGAAGAACACCTAATTGCAATCTTATTTAAGTTCCCATTTATGGCATACCCCGTACACTGAGTTGATGGTCAACGTGCGTTAGCTGCGCACACGGCAACCGTAGCATATCATTTATTCTGCGTCACAGTCGGGAGTAAGTTTATGGAGAACTGGATGCTCAATGCGGAGCGGCTTGTTCCATGGTGCCGTTGGCCTACTGCGTCCTGCCGCACTAGATTTGGCACAGTTCAGCAAACATCGGCTTTAGCTGAAGCAGCTTTTGTGTCAAAAACAAAGCGTTGCATAACCTGGAATCAATCACTCACAGATGATTCGCTTTGAATGATGTCTTCAGACCCATCCGTCTTCCGAAGCGAAGGTTGCTCAGGATTATTTCATGATCGGGTGCCGCTTCCATTTAATGCTGTAATCCACATTGGCCATGCACCTCATATCACCTACTCCAGTTAAGAAATGAGTCTTCAAGCGAATGGGCCTGACACAAAAGCGCATTCCTGTTTAACTTAGTATGCATCCTTTTCCTTAGGTACAAAGCTCCATTAATTCCTTCGCACCCGTTGGATAGAGCCTTTAAGATAATTCAGGGGATGCTAATGATGAACAGAGGACTGATTAAAAAGGGATCAAGAATGTCCAACTTTCTCCACTTTCTGTGGACGCAACTACCCCTATCTGCGCTATAGGTTGCAGCACTTGTTGAATTTTCTTTGACAACTTGATATCAATAGTGTTAAATTGACCTTTTGCGTTGACATGGATCAAGTGGAAAGTTTGGCCAAACATCAAGGTTCGGATATCTCTAGGAATGATTTGGCGCTCGTAATCCTATTGCGTTTCTAGGTACCAGAACAACCACAAATGAACCGTGCAGCTAATATGCCTAAGCCCAGATCCCACACCAGTTAAAGGACAAAAGCTCTCTAGCAAAAGTGCTACACAGTCCAGCGAAAGGCAAACAAACAGCAGTGAAGGCAGGCCGGTTGAGCAGTCTCCCAGGTCTCACGAAATGCTGAAAAGCATGCAGAATTACGCACAACTTGCACGATCATCGTCAATAGCTGGACAACAACACTAGACTGCTACAGATATTGCAACGAACGGCATTGCACATAAACAGTCTCGCCGTAGTTTTGGCCTGTCTGCCACGGAAGACAAGTCAGATACTCATAAGACAAACCTCAGCTCACAAAGAACTGCAGAACAAACAATTACTACGCAACCAAAAGGGGTTGACAGTGATATGTGCAAACGTCGCAGAAACCATCAGTGAATCGTTAAAATGCAAACAAACCGAGGAGTAAAACCGCTGGGCAGAGAGAACCTGTGCACACGAACTGAAATTGCTCCCAACGAAATTCATCATGTCCGCAGGTAGGGGAACCTCGGTTACTGAGAGTAACATTTGGCAACACACGGGACCTGGAAGATGTTCTCTTATCAAGCCATGTTCTAGTAAATTATTCTGTCACTGCTCGCATTTTTCCGGACAAACCATGGGCAGAAAGACAGAAGCGGAAATCGGACCCGAACATATCAAGTCAAAAGGAAACGAAGAAAGTGGTACTGGTTTATGGTGTATCAGAATTAAAGTATGACGATAACAGTGAACTACAAAAGTACCATATCGAAGTGGAGGTACATCACCTAAATCTATAAGGTGCAAAATGTGGTCGCTTTCGAAGTCACCCGTCTCGTTGCCTCCCCAAAATACCACGGCAACGGTCCAAGGATTTAAGTTACCTTGGCTACGCCCGACCGTGTAACGATGGCAATCCAAGCGTGGCATGACAACGGGAAACTTGGGTCTCCAGAGGTACGCTTAAGAGCATTCCTTCAAGCAGTACAGACCTCCGTTACAGATTAGCTAATGTTGGTTGATCCTAGCTCAGACCAGTCAACCGTAAAAACACGGTTCAAAAAATGCCAGCGAACCTGCACTATTTGTGACAGTCACTCACTGCGAACGACCTCCTAAATCATCCATAAATAGAACACTGCTACATCAACACTCGGGAACTCTACTCTAAGCTACCAGAAGTGTGCCATCGACGAAACAACAAATTGGTACATTGTAGCAGTGACCGAAACTTGGCTACTAACGACATACTTGATCCAGAACTTAAACTCAGTGAAATGTCGATCATTCGAAATGACCGTCCATCTCGCGATGGCGGGGTTGCCATTTACTATGCAGATTACCTTAACTTTGAGGCCATTATTAAACATTTCCTTGTTATTCTTGACACCCTTTGCAGATTGCAGATAGCCGGTCGAATTGGTGGATCACAGAAAACACGATTCTCGACTTTTAGCAGTTGCGTACAGGCCACCAAAGTCCTCCACAGAGAATAATAATATTCTGTTAAACGCCCTCTACTATTCAGTTTCAAAAAGTACTCTCTTTACCTTGTACTGGGCGATTTCAAGGTACCTTCAATTGTCTCAATGTCTCCTAATGGGCCATCATTTAAATCAAAACTGCTTGAGTTTATGTACATGGCAGTTTTGTATTTCTATGTGCATCGACCTACCAGACACCGCGGTTGAAACAAGCCATTATTACTGGATCTAATCCTGACAAATGAAGAATTGATGGTTGAGTCAGTCCCGCACGACCCTCCACTAGGTAGTAGCGACCATTCAGTCCTAACATTTGATTATGTGCTATGTCAGTATGATTGGTAAAGAACGCGAAACCCATTGAACTATTACTGACGATTCCAAGCTTCACAAGCTCGCAACAACCGTTAATTGAGGGTTACAGACTCAGTTCGGCGAACGACGCATGGAATGAATTGCAAGGTAAATTTAACTGGGTCATACAAGCAGCCACAAACATTGTACCATTAAGGATATCACGCCGCATCAACCGTTGGATCGGAAGCAGGACAAATAGATGGATCAAAAGAAGAGATGAGATTTGGTAGCAACATACACTATGCCCATGTGATACCTCATGGCAAAATTACAAAACAACCAGCAACTACTGCACGTCAGTTATTAGGGCAGACAACTACGAATGGCAGGAGAACATGGCACTCAATTTTGCGAGTAACAACAAACTACTATACAGGTATGTGAACGATAAAAGATGAGTTAAACCTGGGATACCACCACTCAAGACGGCCAGCGGCTTAACGAATATTGCTGTGAAAATCGCGAAGGGTTTACTCCTGCAGTTTGGCTCAGTGACTACAAATCCCATGGAACTTTTCCTCTATCAACTCCAAATCAACCTCATCGGCTTATCCAGTGTCACCTTTACCCCAGAGGCCATAGTGAACAAATTACAGTCTCTCCGGGGAAAACAGTGCTTCCGGAATCGACATAATCTGTCCACTATAGCAATACATCTTGCAGCTTTTTCTAGGGTCTGCTTGACTCCCATCCGCTCCCATCTGAGTGGAAAACTACAAATATCATTCTAACATAAAAAGGAGGCAAGCGATCGGATTCTGCCAACTAACGACCTATTACCCTAATACCTGTTTTAGCAAAAGTGATGGAATAGCTAATCATAAATGAATGTCTGCAAATAATTTTCAATGTCCATCATGCTTTCATACGCAGACGATCTTGCCTCACCAATCTGCTCTTTGCCCCGAGGATTCATGGACCAGAGCAGCTGATGAAGGTGTTCATATAGATATGGTTTACTTAGATTTTTCTAAGGCATTCGACAGGGACGATAACTTCTTTCTCCCGCGAAAGCTTACTGCCTATGGTGTCAACGTTTCTCTGCTCACCTGGTTAGAAGCTTATCTATGATGTTAATTCTCATCATCCTACGGGACCTGTCAAGCATTGCTTTTATACCCGTCATAAACCATTGTTCCATTGTTCCATTGTACAATACAGAACCATCAAGGAAAGAATAGTCAACACTCACTCCAAAGGCCTGTGCGTATCCAATGGTTTACCATCGTCCTCGGCCAGCTACTGCTCTTAGTTTACATAAATGACCTCCCAGAAAACATTTTATCTCCGATGTGGATATTTGCAGGTGATGCTAAAATATGCAGAGCAATTCGCTCAGCATCCGACCCTACTTATCCCCAGAACGGTCTAGACCGGATTAAAAACTTGGTAAAAAGAAACCAACTCCCGCTGTACACTGCAAAGTACCACCTGATGACGGTGCGTAGCAGCTTCAGCAAAACATATCTCCTAGGACAGCAGGTTTTGAAACAAGTGACTAATGAACGAGACTTACGTATCATCGTCCAAGAAAGTCTTAGCTGTTTGCTCTAATGCTCGAAAGCAGCGAATGTGACGAATTTGAACGTAAGACTTTAAAGGCGAGCTCTCTGCACCTTTGAACGACGGCTAGTACCACTGTTGGTGAACATGTCTTCCGCCCGCCGTTAAGTAAGTGATTCAGGCCTGGCGCCCATCGCTAAAACGAGATATTCGTCTCTTGGAGCAGCCCCAAAGCAGAGTCACCAAGGCAACACGTGGACTATCCGGTCTGTTACGATCTGGGCCTCGGCTTACTTGGTGTGTTCTCCTCAGAATACCGATGACATCGCGACGATGTCCTCAAATACCAGATACTAAGTGAAAGCAAGCACCCAGGTACACCACTGCTGACCCTGGCCTCTTACAAAGATTGTCGAGGCCATCACCCGAAACTAGCAACGCAACACTCCCGTTTGGATTGCAGGAACTAGTTTTACTCTCTTCAATCTGCTCCCACTGGAATGCACTACCAACACATGTGGTGAATGCACCAGACATCGCGACATTCGAGAGACTTCTAGACTTTCATCTTAGTGCTAAATGTTACGCAAAAGTAGGATAATGATGCTTTTTACTACTGATGCTTCACGCTCTACGTTGGAACCTTTTTGATTTTAATTTTCTTGCGCATTTTCTAGCCTTTGGGTCTCGGAAACGTTTGCTTTTTATCCCGTCATACACTGTTGAACTAGTAAGTTTTTGGCCCACTGGAGTTTTACACTTTTGGTCACATCCACAATCAACAAGCAAGCCTACCTCCAGATTACAGGTCCTGCTTTCTCCCCTATGGTAAGGAATAGACTCTGCAGTGCTGAACGAATTCAGACCGCAATCCTGGGATGAGTTCGAAGCGGTGCCTTGACCGTGTTCCTATGAGTATATGTACGGATAATTTTTAACTACTACATACCATACAGAGTGTGAGGTACCGATCCACAACGCCTTGTTGCAAACTTGAGCAGAGCATCTGAGTACGGCGGACCCAGTCGATAAAATTCGCGTTACTCCTGACTAGTATTAGCAAACATGCTACCAAGGCCACCTGGAAACTTTCATGAAATGGGTTCTGAAGACTGGTATTGTATAATGAAAATAGTAACCGCGGCTACCATCAACGGTGTTCTGGGGTATCATGTTATTTTTACAACACAATGTGATTCTGGCGTTAGCTTTGCCAAAAATTCAATAAAAGTTAGTTAATTTACCAACGACTGAGTTGCATTCATGCGGTGCTAGGTCCTCGTGTTGCACTTACCCAGACTGGTTTTTGCATTTTGTACTAGAATCATCGGGATAAATCACGCAGCTTGACAGAAAGATGAACATGAAAACCGTCTCCACCGTTCCAAGGGAACCGGAGTCCGGTTGACCAACAGAATTCATTTCAGATATTCCCAAAGCAGTTTGTGTTACCGTTAATATGACCAAGGAGATGAGTCCATTTTTTCTAGCTACTACGACTAGTGTTGTCGGGGGAGACTTTGGCCTGGTGATTAAGGAACCTACTGGCAACCACCATATTCGAGGCGTAAATCCAAGTTCACGCCATGTCAACTTTTATTGATCATAAAGAGCAGTGCAGTAGTAGCCATCACCGAACAGGCCGTTACGCAGACGGTTAATCATCGAAACAAAAAGTAAAAAGCAAAATTTCCTCTGCTTACCATAAGCTCGAATAATATGCTTAGTGGTATTTGTCCACATAGGATTAACTTCTCGCAATCCGACTCATCCAAATCCACGAATACTGTATGCGTCGTATCCGGCGTTTGGCTGGCTGCGGTACCTCGTCGATCCGGGCACAGTTCAATGGCTTGCCAATCGCATAACAGCCACTCTTCGTTGGATCCTTCTTCGTCTGAATCACCATCGTCCTCAGCATTCCTAGACCATTCCAGGGTGTGTTGTCTACGACGCCATGCATACCTATCAGCATTCAATCTCTGAAGCAGACTGCTTGCACCTCGAAGCATTTGTCTAGCCCACTGCTCGTACTCTGTGGGCAGCGATGATCGATTCATGGCGGAGCGACGTTCGGCCCCGATGAGCCAATGTTGAACGGCTTCGAATACAGTCAGGTGATTCGGTGATGGATGTTCTTGCATTGAAGAATGAGGGCAAGATGAGTCAGGTCGGGATAGAGAACTACTGGCTGGCGGTACTGCGATGGGCTGGGCACCACTGTATTGAGGAGGAGTGTCTTGGGATAAGGCAACACCGCGTAGACGTACGCTTGATGCTGGAACGTATCCCGGGTTTACACCTGTATGTATTGGTCCTTCCCAGCTTCCCTGAGTGGGCTGTGATATCTGGTGAGGATATGCTTGGCGGAGGGTTGGCCACTGATACCATTCCGCACATCGATAAGGCGGTTGCTCTATCAAACCTCGGTCAAAATGTATTTCATTGTTTGGGACCATGGACCAACGAGTCACGGGAGCACCAACATTCATCGTAGCCAAGTATAAGTTGCTGTCGGAGTGGCGAACAGATTGAGGCGTTTGTACCAGTTGTGTGGGGCTAGGCACTCTGGACATGTAGGCTATACGGTCCGTAAGCGTTGACATCTGATTTGAACCGACAGTGTTCCGGGGAACATTGGAGAACGCTGCTGCTGCAGCCAAGTGCGCAGCCGCAGCAAAAGCGGCCCTTGGTATTGATCCACTGAGATTAGATTGCACTGACCCCTCTACGTGCGTGGAGGGCAACTGAGCATAGTGTTCGGGGATGCTCCTGGCTTGTCTGGAGTAAGGCCTAGGTGTTGCAGACCCCGGGGCAAGATAGGCGACAGCTGCCGCAGCCACAGCGGCTTGTGCAGTACAGTGCGTCATATAGGATGGAGGTGATGCGTGGGCTAAACTTGTCACACGTGCGCGTTGAACAGCTGCAATAGTAAATCAAAACAATTGATCAATTGTTTACTTAAAGCACCCACTAAGATCACTTGCGTAGTTAACAAGAATAATCAAAAAATGGTTATCTATACTGTCAAGTCCAAAGAGAAGTTTGAATATTTAGCCAAAGTGGAGTACCCATTTGAGGACATGATATTCCTATTCCCAAAGCTCTGACTTATTTCCTTACAAAAAATTCACGCGTTTGCTTCGAATACTTGCATTATGAAGCACTTGACGTTTTCACTTCAAACCATTGGCATATTCTTGACTATTCATGCTTTCACCGTTGACAGACTGCCGAGTAGTAAACCACTACGCTGTAACGTTTTCCCACGCCGCTGCACATCTTCCAGTTTTCACTCTTCCTCATTACGATCGCAAACCTATTTGTAAGTCACTTACTGACTCTAATTTGATTTGTAGAACCACGGTAACAGAAATTCAGGTCTTATTTTCTCTTGCTAGATCGTGTGTATGGTATAGGTTCAGTAGCCTGCAGTTTTCCTATCCTGTCTCGTGCGATTACCTCATCTAGGCTTTGTATAATCGCTACATAGTTGAATAGTTCAAGAATGTCTGTTTCTGACTTTGATGCTGTTAGGGAGCTGGCTACTTAACCCTCAGTTTCATGAATTATGTTAGTTGCCTATTTCTTTGTTTGCGCAGTTACCTGCTTCTCTGCTACATTTTGGACACGCCGCTTTTCTCAGCCTCATTCGCAATCGCTCACAGCTAATTTCAGCCGTCTCATTCTGTGGACATTCTGATTGGTTTCTTTTGCTCAGCGTTCCTTAGCTTTTTCACGTGAATGTATTATTCAGCCGACATATATTTATTATACCTGTTTTTATTTTCCTGGTGTGTATCATTCTCACTATCAATTGTTTTGGCATTTGTTTAAACGCATCACTTCTCCACACTGATTGGACGCTACTCGTCGTCTTTAATGGTCGCTCACCAGAAGGTTACCCCCAGGGATTAACTCCGCAGACACTATTTTCTTTGCCGCACTTCAATGGCTCGTAATTTTCGCGATTCTCATTTGCTTGTTTCATTTTTTGTTTTCGACATGCCTGTTGGATCTCATGCGTTTAGTAGCTTGGATTCGCCCTTGTTTGTAAAGCTGGTGCCGTGCTGTAATAGAAAATCTGTTCATCCCGGCTCATCTTGGACTTCTTCTTGCGGTGGTGGGGTGAAGGCGTACTGGGCGTCACAACATATTCTTCTGGCGACGAGAAGTGGTGAACCATGTCGGTTTCGTTCGAGCAATTGCAGACTTTACTTCAACAGCAACAATTGCAATTTGAGAAATCGCAAAGGCAGCTGATAGAACTGCTCACACAAAATTGAACCTTCAGACAGAACCCCCGACGTCGACGATTGCACGATCATCAGTGGATGCCCTTACTGCATCAAGCACAGAATTTGTGTTCGATGGATTGAGTGGTGTAACCTTCGATTCATGGTTTAAGAAGTATGAGGATATTTTTCGAGTGGAGTTTGCTGACCAAGATGATGCCTGGAAAGTTCGATTGTTGTTGAGAAAACTTGGAGCAGTGGAGCATGAACGCTACACAAATTTCGTGTTGCCGAAAAACGCAAGGGACTTCAGCTTTGATGAGACCGTGAGAACTTTGACGCAGATCTTCAGTGAGCAAGCCTCTTTGTTCAACATTCGGTACAATTGTTTGAAGTTGGTCAAACGCGGTGTTCATGACTTTGTCACTCATGCTGGGATTGTGAACCGCGAATGTGAACGATTCAAACTAGGCACGATGACTGCGGATCAATTTGAGAGTCTTATTTTTGTGTGCAGTCTCCAGTCCCACGCTGATGCCGATATTCGCACACGAATTTTGCACAAGCGTGAACAGGAACCACAACTGACGTTGCATGATATCGCTACAGAATGCCAGCGGATGATTAATTTGAAGCACGATACAAAAATGGTTGAAACTGGTGACCACAAAACTGAACCCAAATCTGTCGTACAGTTATCCGACGTAAAGGAATGAATCGAACTGGATCAACTCAGAAGCCCCCGACCGCATGCTGGAATTGTGGCGCCTGGCATTTTGTGAGAGATTGCACATATAAAACGCACCAATGTCAGAAGTGCAGACGGATTGGCCATAAGGAAACCCCTGCCTAGTTGTGAACAATTTCAGACGTTCTTTTCCCCCAAAATGCGCGTAAATCCCAAGTTTAGAAGAGCCAATTTTCACGGACCGTCCGCGAAGATAATCCTCGCCGCCTTTCGCACAGAACTTGCACGCAAGGGAACGTACTTGTCAGTAAAAGTCAATAGTGTTCCTATCACGTTGCAGCTGGATACAGCGTCCGACATTACAATCATCTCGAGAGCAGTCTGGAAGAGGCTTGAGAGACCAGCATTCAAACGCACAACCCTAACGGCTAAAAATGCATCTGGGGGACCACTGAGATTAGATGGTGAGATTGAGTGCGAAGTCAGCTTCAATGGCTTGAATCTTCGTGGCATGATTTACTTGGTTACGAGCAGTGACGTAAATCTGCTCGGCATCGATTGGATCGAGAAGCTGCATCTATTCGACTTACCATTGAGTCACATTTGTTCTGAGAATAATGTCGCGATGCTTCATACAGCCGTATCGAATCAGCCGGGTCAAAGTATTGCAGAACTGCTTCAACCGAAGTATGCATGTGTATTTCAATCAGAGCTTGGACACTGCACGCAAATGCAGGCAAAGCTTACCCTGCTTCCTGAGGCAAAGCCAGTGTTCCGACCCAGACGTCCAGTCCCTCACGCATCCCAATCACTCGTGGAGCATGAGCTTGATCAATTACAACAGGCCGGAGTGATCGAGCAAGTCAGTTTCTCACAATGGGCGGCACCTATCGTTGTGATCAGAAAACCGAATGGCTCAGTTCGTTTGTGTGCAGATTGTTCAACCGGCTTGAATGCTGCATTAGAACCCCATCAGTACCCGCTTCCACTCCCAGACGACGTGTTTGTAAAGCTGAATGGAGGCAAGTAATTTGCTACTCTGGATCTGGCAGATGCTTGATTGCAACTGCAGGTCGAACCGGAAAGCAGAAAGCTTCTAACAATCAACACGCATCGCGGTCTTTACCAGTATAATCGTTTCCCATTTGGAGTAAAAATTGCACCTGCAATCTTTCAACAAGTTATGGACGCTATGTTGACTGGCTTGACGGTGTGATGGGAGTATACACTCGAGCGAACGTGCGGTGTCAGCTCACCAAGGAAGCTGTTAGGCTGCCGCAAGGAAAAGCGGCAGCTAATTGGACGTTCACACGTTTCTCGCATGCACGCTGATTGGCCAACAGTTGGACGCATTGGAGTGAGTTTGTTTGACTGAATAAAAGGAAAAATGTCATGCATTCACAAAGGTCGTTAATTATGGATCCAACTAGCTGTATATACCAATATGTTTCACTCGCCCTCTGCCTGCGTTTTCGCCTAGTCCCTTTGTTTGCAGAATACACGTTTTGTCACGGAGGGACCGACTTTTTACAGCGGGAGCAGCAGCCTATCTAGGTGATATCATCATAATGGGCGAACCCAAGAGGAATTGTTTCAACGACTGGATGACGTGATGATGAGAATTAAGTAATATGGATTCCGGTTGCGAGCTGACAAATGTAAATTTTTCCTGAAATCCATCAATTTCCTGGGTTTCGTGTCTGACGAGAACGATCGACGGCCTGATCCTGAAAATATCGAGGCCATAAACAGACTACCGGCACCAACGGATGTCACAACCTTGCGCTCATTCCTTAGCATGGTGTGTCATCATAGTGAGTTCCTGCCTTGCATGCATCGATTACGTCATCCTTTAAACCAATTGTTGATGAAAGATGTTGAGTGAAACTGGTCCGCACAGTGTCAAGAAGCTTTTGGCAAACTCAAATCTCTGCTGAAATCAGATTTGCTCCTTACGCATTACAATCCGAAACAGGAGGTTGTCGTGGCTAAGGACGCTTCGAGTTATGGAATTGGTGCTGTCATCTCACATCGCTTTCCAGACGGGTCCGAAAAGGCTGTGACACATGTGGCACGAGCGCTGACCGCATCTGAAAAGAACTACAGTCAAATTGAGAAGGAGGCGTTGGCTATCACCTTTGCCGTACAGAGATTTCACAAGATGATATATGACAGAAGATTCACGCTGGTGACTGATCACAAACCGCTTTTGGCAATCTTTGGATCTAAGAAAGGCATTCCGACATATACAGTCAGTCGACTTCAGCGCTGGGCAACTCTGCTCCTGGGATATGATTCTGGCATGCGGTATTTGTCCACTGATTCTATTGGACAAGCGGACGCCCTGTCCAAACTGATTAATACCGGTAGACGCGATCAAGAAGACGCAGTCATTGCATCCATTGCAGCCGAATCGGACGTCAGCTACATGATACAAGAGGCAGTGTGTAACTTGCCAGTGAATGGTTCAATGGTTGCGCAAGCCACTAAACAGGACGCTGTGCTACAATAAGTATTAAACTATACAAGAAGTGGATGGCCAAAGAAGTGTCCGAACGAAGCTTTGACCCGGTTTTTCACAAGGCGAGGGGCATTGTCGGAAGTCGATTCCTGTCTGTTTTCGCAGATCGCACAGTCATTCCAGAAGTGTACAGACAGCGCATACTAAGAGAGCTGCACAAGGTCCATCCAGAAATCGCCCGCATAGAGGCACTCGCTGGCAGCTACGTCTTTTGGCCGATGATGGACAGCCAAATTGAGGATATCGGTCGATCCTGTTCCAGATGCATCAGTGCATCCAAACTGCCGGTGCGTGTGCCATTGCAATCTTGGTCGAATCCAGAATCTCCCTGGTCGCGCATACATGTTGATTTCGCAGGACCAGTCGAGGGTGTGGAATTTCTTGTGATGGTTGACGCGTACAGTAAGTGGCCGGAAGTGATCCGGATGCAAACCACGTCCTCAAACAGCACGATCTCGAAAATGAGACATGTATTCAGT